ACTTTTTGAAACTGGCTTCCAGGTTTAGCACTTATCTAATGCTCCCCGTAGTTCAGATAGTAAAAGATTTGGGCAAAGCTTATTAAACATGGTAGTACTCTGAAACCTTACTGTTTGTGGACTTCTACAAACAGGTGCTTCTAATGAGATTTTGAAGTAGCACTCTTGCAGAAATAAGAGAATGAGAACATTTGTACCCTGCCCTGAAATACAGTAGGAACCTACTTGTCATCAGAGGAGGAGTATGCAGTCATACAGAGGGCAATATAGACTTTTAGACAGGAATCATTCATAGGCTCTCATGAGAGGGCTTGTAAGTTTAAAGCCTGTGACCATGTTAATGTGCCGGCAAATCCAGGCAAATCCTGTAGAAAAGTACTGCAAATTTATATTTTAGCACATATCCCAGATTGACGGATGTGAATGTGCTTATTCCTTTCCTAACAAAAGGAGTGAGTGTGGCTGATGAGGAATATAACTCCAAATGTAACTAGTGGTTGCAGCAAATGTGGGACAGAGGTATTCTTTCAGATCTACCTACAGTAGTTGTTGCTCTGTAACAGTCTGCACAGGTAGTGAGAGTCAGTGAAACTTTAAATAAATTTTCATCCCAGGACTGAAAAAAGTAAGGGCTTGCATTTCAGAGAAGCAAGGTGTAGGGACTGTTCTAAAGCTAAAAATGGAGTGTCACTGATGTCCAGATACAAAATGCTATCAAAAGCTTTCTTTGGTGTCTGAACCTGTTTGTTCTTTCATCTTAAATAGCAGTAGTTATGCCCTGCAGTCCCCCATGTGTCCAGTTTTCCTTATCTCTAAGCAAGACCAGAAGCAGCCTGTGCAAAATGAAAACAAGATGTGAGATTGTATGGCAAGGAGTCTCAGCACAGATTTTATACAGTGGCAGCAGGCGAAAGGATGTGGACACAGGTGGGGAAATGCTGTAAAATATGAGTGAAAGGATTGCGGCAGAATTACAACAGGGCCCTTGGTACAGGTAAACTCAATTAATCTAGGGGAGGAACTCATTGGCGAGGTACTGTGGGGATAGATGTAATCTGACCAGTTGAGGAAGGTAAAACAGTGCATTCAAAGATGGCTTTAGTGGGAGTAAAGATGTATTGTCACAGGAATTGAATATGGATTGCAGAACAGGGTTCCCTTCAAGCCTTACAAAGAGCATGAATGCTTTCTTTAGAAAAGTTGTGTATTGAGGGTGGGCATAAAAACAACAACTTTTGTGACACTGTAGTAGTTGCTGATCGCTTTAAATTGTCAGGACTGAAAAATCCAGGTATCTTTAGTAAACTGTTCCAGGGATTGTATTTTCTCTTTAACTTTGTCCATAGGCTCTTACTATATTACCCTTTCCTGACTTTGTTTAGAATGAAGTCCTTTGTGTCCCTCTATTCAGGACCTGTTTATGGTGTTATCCTAACTTCTCCTGGAGAAACTGGCTGCTCATGGCTTACGCTTCGCTAGGTAAAAAACTGGCTGGATGGCCGGTGCCAAAGAGTGGTCGTGAATGGAGTTAAATCCAGTTGGTGGCTGGTCACAAGTGGTGTTCCCCAGGGCTCAGTATTGGGGCCAGTTCTGTTTAATATCTATCAGTGATCTGGATGAGGGGATCAGTAAGTTTGTAGACAACACCAAGTTGGGCAGGAGTGTTGATCTGCTTTAGGATAGAAAGGCTCTACAGAGGAATCTGGAGAGGCTGGGTCAATGGGCCAAGGCCAGTTGTATGAGGTTCAACAAGGCTCAGCGCTGGGTCCTGCATTTGGGTCACAACAACCCCGTGCAACACTACAGCCTTGGGGAAGAGTGGCTGGAAGGCTGACTGGTGGAAAAGGGCCTGGGGGTGTTGGTCGACAGCCAGCTGAATATGAGCCAGCAGTGTGCCCAGGTGGCCAAGAAGGCCAATAGCATCCTGGCTTGTATCAGAAGGTGTGTGGCCAGCAGGACTAGGAAAGTGTTTGTCCCCATGCACTCAGAACTGATGAGGCTGTACCTTGAATACTGTGTTCAGTTTTGGGCCCCTCACTACAGGATAGACATTGAGATGCTGGAGTGTTCCCAAAGAAGGGCAACGAAGCTGGTGAAGGGTCTGCAGAAGAAAGTCCTTTGAGGAGCAGCTGAGGGAACTGGGGTTGTTTAGCCTGGAGAAAAGGAGGCTGAGGGTAGACCTTATCGTGCTCTACAACTACTTGAAAGGAGGTTGTAGTGAGGTGGGTATCAGTCTCTTCTCCAAAGCAACTAGTGATAGGACGAGAGGCAATGGCCTCAAGTTGTGCCAGGGGAGGTGTACATTGGATACTAGGAAAAATTTCTTCACCAAAAGGGTTGTCAAGCATTGGAACAGGCTGCCCAAGGAAGTAGTTGTGTCACCATCCCTGGAGGTATTTCAAAGATGTGTGGATGTGGTGCTTAGGGGCATGGTTTAGTGGTGGGCTTCGCAGTGCTAGGTTTATGGTTGGACTTGATCTTAAAGGTCTTTTCCAACCTAAATGATTCTATGATACAGTTAAATTTTGCATTAGATGTCTTCAAAGACTTTTGAAGTATTCGTAGCAGATTTTCATAAATATTTCCATTAATATTAGCCTTATATTCTTCAGTAGGTCCAATAAGGAAAGGTTCAGCTAAGCGTCTAGAATAGAATTGGAGTGTGTTTACAGTAGTTAGTTATTTATGCTACATACATTGATGAGTTTACTATTTGGTATTTCAATATTGATACCCTGAATCTCAAACACAGTGCTGACTCAGCAAATTGGTTGGCTTGTATAATAGGCCCCTTCTTTCTCACCTTCTAAGGTGGTTCTTTCCAGCCCTTAATGC